TGTGCATAGACTATAGGGGTCTGAACGCAATCTCCGTGAAGAATGCTGAGTCACTGCCCAGGATAGACGATCTCTTAGATCGAGTGCAAGGGTGCAGATATTTCTCAAAGATAGATTTGAAGTCGAGATATCATCAGATAGAGGTCCAGCCTGATGATCAGTATAGGACAGCTTTCCGGACTAGATATGGGCATTATGAGTTTATGATGATGCCCTTTGGACTAACCAACGCGCCAACGACTTTTCAACGCTATATGAACGACTTGTTCAGGCCGTGGTTAGATAGGTTTGTAGTAGTTTACCTAGACGATATTCTAGTATTTAGTAAGACCCTCCAAGAGCATCAGGGTCATCTGAGGCAGGTCTTGGAGATGCTAAGAGAAGCTAACTTCAAGATCAACGCGAAGAAGTGTGAGTGGGCGGAGACCCAAGTATTGTATCTAGGCCATGTCTTAGACGGAAACAGCATTAAGCCCGAAGATAGCAAGATTGCAGCGATTAGAGATTGTCCTACACACCGCACGTTGACAGAATTGTGGTCGTTCCTAGGCCTAGCCAACTACTATAGGAAGTTCGTGAGGAACTTCTCCACCATCGCTGCACCCCTTCGCAGGTTGTTGAAGAAAGAGGCGATCTGGAAGTGGGGCAAGGACTGCACGTCTGCCATGAAGAAGTTAAAGCAGGTATTAATAGAGTATCTGGTCCTTAAGGTAGCCGATCCGTCCTTACCGTTCGTCGTCACGACTGACGCGAGCCAGTACGGCATAGGTGTTGTACTACAACAAGACGATGGCCATGGATATAGGCCCGTAGAGTTCATGTCTGCTAGGATGCCTTCAGAGAAGGTAGCGACATCTACCTATGAGAGAGAACTCTACGCTCTCAGGCAAGCTCTAGAACATTGGAAGCACTACTTGCTTGGGAGGCACTTTAAATTCTTCTCAGACCATGGTACGTCAAGGTGGTTGAAGACGCAGGCCAAGATGACACCTAAGTTGACTAGGTGGGCCGCAGAGTTAGACCAATATGATTTCGAGCTCAAGCCAATCAAAGCGAAGTATAACATAGTTGCGGATGCCTTGAGTAGGAGAGCTGACTACTTCGGCGCAATAGCTCACTATCTGGACATAGGGAGAGACCTGCAGCAAAAGGTTAGAGATGCGTATGCACAGGACCCTATCTATAGTGACCTTCTCAAAAGGGTCAAGGAAACCCCGGAAGCCGAACCAGATTACCGCACTACTGACGGATTACTATTTGAGAAGACTAACGTAGTGGATAGATTGTGCGTCCCCAACAGCGAAGAGATTCGTAGTTTGATCCTAGGGGAATGTCATGATACAGAGGGACACTTTGGTTGGCAAAAGACACTAGCCAACCTAATGCACGCGTACACCTGACCAGGGATGAAGAATGACTGCATAGAGTATGTTCGCAGTTGTAAAGTTTGCCAGAGAAATAAGACTACTACGCGTGCCCCGCTAGGTCTTCTCAGACCCTTGCCTATTCCTGACCAGCCAGGAGTTTCAGTATCCATTGACTTTATGGATGCTGGCGTCAAGAGTAGGCACGGCAAGAGCCAAGTCATGGTCGTAGTTGATAGATTTAGCAAATATGTTGTTTTTATTCCTTTGCCTTCTGAGGCACGTACAAAATTAGTGATTCAAAAGTTTTTCAATCATTGGGTCAGTGAGCACGGGGTTCCATTGCCCATAGTTAGTGATAGAGATAGTCAGAACTGGCAAGAGTTGATGAGAGTCTATGGCTCCAAGTTGTTAATGTCATCAGTGCCTACAATAACATCGTGCACTTGTCTACCTGTCGCACTCCCAACAAGTTACATAAGTCTTTCAGACCACGTAGACCATTTGAAGGACTTAACCGGGATCAGATACAGAGGCTACCGCCGGGTACTAGGGAGTTTGCGCTACAGCACGAAAAAGAGTTAGCTACCGTGATAGAGAACCTCAGGAAGGCCCAACACCAAATGATAGAGCAAGCTAATAAACACCGTCGCCCATCATAGTTTCAAGTAGGTGACTTAGTCTGGGTCAAGTCTAAAGAGTTTGCTCCTGAGGAGAACATCTCGCAAAAGTTACTGCCCACGTATACAGGACCGTGGCCAGTTCTAGAAGTCAAGGGCGGAGAGGATGGGCCGTCCTACACAATAGAGACCCCAGCGCACCTCCATACCTACCCGGTCTTCCATGCATCCAAGTTGTTGCCCTGCACAATGAGTTATCAGTGCCCATCGAGGAGGTCTATGATCCCTCCGGATATGGATGGCAGGTACGACATTGACGGCATCGTAGGTGAAGATGTGTTCAGAACAGGAGGTAGAGGTCGTCCACAGAAACAATATAAGGTCCGATTCGCTTATCAGGAGCCAGAGGACGACCGCTGGTTTACGAGGACCGAGCTTCTAGAAACAGCTCCCGACATAGTTAAAACCTATGAGAGAGATAAGAAAGGAAAAGGTCCTGCATTGGACTGAGTTATTCTCGGAGGACCTCGAATTTGGGCCGGCGGGAGTGAAACGGTTTTCACCTGTCAGCAGTAGCGAGCGCAGATCCCAGGGCTCGATCCCTAGTTCTCACCTTACCTGTGTACAGTATCTGTGTTGACCCCGAGTGTTTGAGCCCCTGACCTGTGTTTTCACAGTTGTTGTTGTCTGTCGTAGGTCGGTGTAGAGGTAGGGGTTCGATCTGTAGACCTGTCGGATAGGAGTCCTAGTGAGTTCTAGAAGTCGTAGCTGTAGCCTGTCCGAAGGGTCAAGGTCGTAGCTGCTACAGTCCTGAAAGGTCAAGCTCGTAGCTGCTACAGTACCGAAAGGCCAAGTCTACAGACTTCCGGAAGTGGCCTTTCGGAGTAGGCTCACGTTAGGCAGAGGCAAGTGGGCAATTGGTGGAGTCAACCTCAGTGTGTTGGCAGTGCAACTGCAGTGAGGTTGCGGTCCAACCCCATGCAGTCAGCGGTACGGTCCAGTCAGTCCCAGTCCAGTCCAGCAAGTACCATACGGGACTGTGTGCACAATGGGCCGATGGGAAAGGGGCCAGACCAGCGAGCTACAGAAGTATAAATCAGGAGGCAGCGCCTGGGCGAGAAGGAGATAGCCATAGCAATAGGGTAGTAGCGGCCATAGCCGCCATAGCTGTAGGTGTGTGTGAGTGTGTACGCAAGTGTACAAGGTGTTGCGTGTGGGGTATCCAGGGTGATCCTGTGTGCGAACAGCAGTGTTGAGTGAGTGACGACAGAGAGTTGTGCAGGCGATGTGCCGCCATAGACAGTGGCAGTGAACTTGTATCTGAACTGAGTTCTTGGTACTACATCTCTGAGTGGGCGCCTGGCGCCAGTTTGCTGCGCAACCTGTTTGCATACATGTGAAGTGTGAATGAGTGCAAGTCTGATTGCACTGTTCTCAAATTCCTTCTTCTGGGACTTCTGGATTCCGGACGCTTGGCGCCATCCAACATTCTGGATTCCGGACGCTTGGCGCCATCCAACATTCTGGCCCTGAGGCATTTTCACTTTCGCCCTCGGGACTGTACTTGAGTCCGGTACTTATGTACGGACTCAAGCCCAGTACAGGCACCAAGTTTTCAGCCTCCGTGCTTGTGTTCAGTGTGACTTTGCTTCGACATTGCGTTTAGGAATTCAAGACTGCGACTTTGCGAGTGTGTGCGTTCGTCGAGTCGTGTCGAGTCTGCGTCGAGTTGAGTGAGCGTGTGTGTGTGGTCTCACTCTCCCTCTCTCTCCCAGGCTCGCTGCTCTGCCTCTGCCTCGTCACACTGCGGGTTGATTAGTCGGGGCATTGGCGGAAGCACTGGGATATCGTATAACAGGGAATGTCTAGGCCTCAAACTTATCAAAAACACCAATGCAAAGCGAGCCGGCCAAACCCAGATTCTAGCCCCAAGGAAAAGACTGACCCATCTTGTTCTGTAGTGTCTTTCCACTCAAGACCATACCGAGCAGGGGAGGGCGGAGATGCCTTCCATGATAGGATGCCATCAATAAATGAATATGTGAATGCATATGCTTGCGCAGGGCGGATATCTCATGGCGAAGTTCCTCAACGAGCTGCGCTTCATCCCAGTAGAGTGTGAAGTTGGCAATTTCTGGTTCGGCGTTAGTGCCCATAGGGATACCAACCACCTGATGGTGCAGAGTGCCATCCGTTGTATAAAGATATGTATTGGAGACTACAAACCACATATGCTGTTCAATTTCTGACACTGAAAGGGTGTCGGAGCCATGCGAAGTAACCCAAGCCCTGCTATGAGGACCTACGACAGTCATGTACATTTGTACTGGCCTCCTTCCTGTGTGTTGTCATATTCGCAATACACTCAAAAAAAGCATGACTGTACCAGACTGTTTCGTTGGACTTTCACCAACTCATCAGGAGGCTGAACCCCGACAGTCTGCCCAGGATGCATTTGACTGATGGATAAGGACTCACCACATCGCCCAGAGTTAGCAATACCCCTGAGAAGAGTGGTCGACTTTTACTCACACCAACCTTGCAATCCTAGCAGACTGCCGGTGCAAACCCCTGACAAAAACGGTAGTAAGTCTGAGAAACTAATCTGACACAACGGGTGTCAGTGTGTCTGTCCTTTTTTTGATGGCTTTGTGTCTTGGTGCCATCCAGTCTGCATACTATGACTCACCCTGCATAGTTGCAAAGACGGACAAACAGAAGGACGTGTGGACCTCGTGTTCCTCCAGCCACACCAGGGCCGCAGTGCAACTTGACTTGTTTTCAGTAAGGCAGAGCCTCTTCAGGACATTCAAAAGTAAGACATAAGCTGAATCCCAAAAGTACTTTTCTGAACTAAATAACAGACCAAAGTGAAGGAGGGTGCAAAAAGTTCTCTAGGAATCGAGTTCATTTTGACAAATGTACCTATTCTAATCCTCTGGTTTCCTTTCATGAAGATAGACGGCCCTCTTATTCCACACCTCAATAGGGTCGATGTGTTCAGTCAATAATGCACCTCAATTGGCGTCGACATCTTCTTTTCACTGATCTTCTCATACTTTTGCTTCTTTGTGCCAGCCTTCAAGCCCTGCCAAGGCAGACTGCATAAGCAAGAGTCCATTCATTGAAAAAGATGTGCAAAAAACGAGCAATTTCCTGTAAGCGTACACATCATTCCAGCCATAAAATAACTCATCCACTGCCAACCCCCAGGCTAGAAAATGAATTCACACTGTTTTCATCACTGTTGGCAGAACACTTAACCAGGCTATAGATAATCCTGTCACATACCAGACGCTGAGAAAAAAAATGTGCACAGTTCTGCAACCATGAACGAAGCAAGAGAGTGCAGTTACCTGCATAGTTGCAGTCTTAGAACTCTGCATTTTCTGAGCCTGATTTACTGAGAGTCTGAGATATCCAGGTATGCCTAATCGGCATCTGCATACGGACTCCGCTCTCATACTGTTTCCCTCTTCTGGAAAGGGTTATAATGGGAAGTAGGTGTACTTGCAGGGAAAGGACTGAAAGAGTGCTACAGGAGCACTTACAGGATTGTCGGACGGCCCAGGATGACATAGAAATTGATGGGGACCCGGTAGGGATTTGTCAGCAACTGGGGTAGGCCTATAGTCCAGTAGCTAGCAGGGTAGAGTAATTATGGTATAGGACTAAATTTGACCGAATAAGCTTTGATGGTCAAAATCCTCAAAGGCACACCAGTCCCGAAATCATGAGTACTCAAGCCACCTCCTTCTTCCTGCCCTGTTGTGCAAAGGACAACACAAGGCAGCTATGGCTGCTCTAGCTCAGGCCGCCATGCCTGACTCTGCCTCAAAGCTTCTTGGTGTAGCGCTACCCCCAAAGGGGCTTTCCAGATGCAGCGCCCACCAAGGTGATGAAGATGGCGACCACCATAGCCAGGTAAGTACCTCTGGCGATCCTCCCTCCTAGTCCTGGTCTTCTTCCTCCTCCTTACTTGCTCCTCCCCAGCAGCGCTGCTCTGATGCTAGTGCCGCTCCAGGCAGCGCTCCAACCAGTGTGTCGCCAAACTTCCACACCGACAATGAGGAGGAGCACCTTGCTCCTCCGGGAGATATAGCGGCCTGTTTGCCTCTTGGCGGGTAACTTCCTAGGCTGCTCGGCCTCCAAGCAACCCGTACCTCCTCCCTTTCAGAGAGAAGGTCTGATGACGCTGACGCAGAGCAGCAAGGTCGGGGAAGAGAGAGGGAGGGAGTGAGAGCACACACACACACTCACTCAGCTCGACACGGACTCGACACGACTCAACGGACGCAGACACAAAGTGGCAAAGTGGCAAAGTCGCAATCTTGATTCTGAACACAATGTCGCAGCAAGTCACACTGAAGCACAAGCACTTAGGCTGAGAACTGACTCCCCAAACTCAGCTTGAGTAAGTACCGGACTCAAGTTGAGTCCGAGAGCAAAGTGCAATTTGCCTCGGGGCTGCACTGAAAATCAAAGGTCTGAGCCTGGGCGCCAGAATGCCGGATGGCGCCAAGTATCAAAATTCAAAAGTGTCAGAGGAGGGATTTGAGAACAGGCACCAACTGCTGAGGGCGCCAACCGTCAGGAACCGAGAATCAGAGACTCAAAAATACAGCCTGGCGGGTGGTAACCCGCAGACCAGGGATCGAGCCCTGGCTGAGTCCGTAACACTATCCCCTCCCTCTGGAAGGCAACGTCCCGGCTGCCAAAGACCCAATGAACAACTGTGAAGGACGGGACGGGACCGATCACTGGTCGGAAAAGGAAAAGAGGAGTAATGCAAGTAGCAGGGTAATCCTATCGAGGTTCTACAGGGATGAGGGAATCAATGCTCAAGTAACAGGGTAATCCTATTGAGGGTCTACAAGGGTGAGAGTAGCAATGTTCAGGTAACATGGTAATCCTATTGAGATTCTACAAGTACCAGGGTAGTCCTATTGGTGTTCTACAAGGTTATAGGTTCTCAGGTTTGAGAGAAAAAAAAAAAAAAAGAAGTTTGTTCAATGCTAAAGTGTTGGGGTGTCTGAGGAGGCTGGAAAAACAACGTCTCAGGTCTGTAACAAAGTGTCAAAAGCGAAAATATGTCTTGAGAAAGGTCTTGGAGGGTGTCGGAGAAGTGGCGGTGAGGGCGCAGCTTCAGCAGTTCTGTGATATAGACGGCGAGGGCTTCAGCTTGATTGTCCCAGTAGCAGGTTGCGTCCGGTATACGATCTGGTGATGAGGTCTGATCCGGATAGCAGGTCGCAGACTGATCTTGATGTCCATGTCAGAGGTGCTGCTCCAGAAGTCTGCGAGTCCAAGGCGCCGGCCAAAGGG